TCCAAAAGGGAATGCAGCCCTACTAACACCTTGACTTTAGCCCAGGAATACCTGTTTCAGACTTCTGACCCCTGGAACTGTAAGATAATAAATATCTGTTGTTTAAAGACACTAAAATTGTGAAATTTGTTGCAGCAGATATAGGGAACTAATACAGTCAGTATTAAAAGCCATACGAGAAGTTAACTCTCCCCCTTAATTTGTTAATCAATTGAATGGACCTTACCACTTAGTCTCTCCATGTAATATTTCATGAAAAAGCTTCCCTCCCCAGAGACTGTGAACCCATATTGGCGCAGGCAACTGTTTATTCCTGGATTATTCTAGCATCTTCGTTTTAAGACAAGTTTTGGATAAATAGAATACGGAAAAAGGAATGTTGTGTTGGCTGTAGGGAAAAAAACTGTAGCAATGACAGAATGATGGCCTCAACACTTTCTCAGAATTTCACGGTAAATATGTACTTGGTTCAAGCAATGTTTGTTTTGGGTGGTTACAAGAGGGAACCACGGAGGCAAAGTAACTGTTAATTAAAAACCTCAAGGTGTATAAAGTTGAAGACTTTGCATGGAGGCTAGGTTTAACTTCAGAAAGAACTCTGTGTTAACACATTTACATGTATTTTTTGCTGTTATTAGTAGTCAAACATATTTGGAAGTTGAGAATATTTTTCTTATTGCTGTTTTCAGTATCTTTGTAATGAATCATGAAATTATGACATATTAGGTTCTAAACAAAATTTTAAAAACCTTCAGCATATCCCACAGTAAACGTCTCTCAAAATTTAATTGATTCTATTTATAAAACATTTAGGTAATGCATTTAATAGAAATAAGGACTGAGAAAAAAGCTAAGGTTTTTTGGGTTTTTTTTAGATCACTTGGAAAAATAGCCAATTATTTCTATCTTGTTTAAAGGTCTTTTAAAATAAATATAATAGGTTGTCCCATCAGTTTAGCACCCTAGACTATATTTTAAAGGTGTAAACACTCTCAATGTGCTCCTTAATTCTCCATCTCTATCAGGCAGAGATTTTTGTTTGCAAATAAAAGAAACTTTCTCTTAAGCAAAAACCTGTTTACTAGTAGATAATGCAGTAGCTCATATGATCAAAGTAAACGTTAAATAATCAAGGTTTAATAAGGATAGGAATCAGGGAACCCCCTGGGATGCAGTTTGTAGGACCTAATGACAATTTTCCTTAGGGCATGTCATGGGAATGAAACCGCTGGATCTATTTTCCACCCTTCCATCTCTGGACTCAAGTTTCAGATTCTTGGAAGAGCCTGCCTGTCCTGGCTGGAGTCATTTTCCCGCCCCTTAGCCAGGGGAGGATGAATGGTTGATAGTGCAGCCAAGGCTCCATGCAGTGGGGGAAGGGGTTTTGTTCCTTGGTGCTGTCACATAAGGAAGAGGGGACGTGGTTATGAGTAGTGAATAACATGAGATATCCATTGCAACGTCCTTATGTAAGAAGTACTGTGTTAAGAAATTAATGAAAATGTGTTATTAGAAATATATCTTTACATAGGTTGTCACTTGTCAAAATAGGAAGATTTCAGTTGAGTTGAGAAGAAAGAAAGGGGAAAAAAAGGGAGGAGGTAGGGAGGAAGTCAGGCAGTCAACAGCAGACAATTAGTGCTTTAAGAAATAGTCGGATTACGAAGTATAATTTCCTAAATGCTTCATAACAGTGAGGCTTCAATGCAGTGGCATAAATATTTCTCTCCTGCCTATGGTCTTCCATGGGAAAGATTGCAGTGAATTTTTTTGGGTTTAAAGAAAATTTTTTCTCTCCAATAAAGCACAACACAACACAGCAACACAAAACTATCCCCATATTGTCAGTAGTGACCAGCCTAATCCTGCAGTAGGGAGGAAGTTAGCAGGGGTCCTCCGCAGTCTTCCTCCTTAGTCCCCCTTAGGGATGAAGTTTATGTATTCACAAATGTCATACTGCACCTAATCACACATAGGAAGCCTGACTTCACCATGCGAAGGGTGAATTTGTTGATTCCTTCTGGGTTCTTGGTGTGTGCCAGGAATCAAACTTTATACTTCATTTTTGTCTTGTTGAAAAAATTAGGATTTGAACTGACACAAATTAACTTTACAGTCAAGTTCATGCAAGCATTTATAATTGTTACTGGAAGTTAAGTATATGTATAGAAAGTACTTTTTTTGAGTTTGTGAAAAGAAAAATCATGGGTCTGGTAATAGATAATACACAAATTTTTGTTCCATGAGATAAGAACAATTATTTCTCCACTGCACTTACAGTGTTCCTGACAATTTTGCTGTCCTTGCTTTGGCACCAGTCCCAGTGCCTTCCAAAAGGGGGAAAAAGCTAACTTTGAAATCCACAACTGTGACCTCATGCCTCTTTCTTTCTTAACTAGCATTTTTCTTTTCAATGTTTTCCCCCCAAAGGCAATGACTGAAAGGAAATGTGAACTCTGTGTCTAACCAAGATTTTCTTTCAGTGATTGTGAGGATATTTATGCTTATATAGGCAATAAGTGTAAGAGGTAATAGTGGTATTGCTAGCAGTTGTAATGGGACTTTGTTCACATGAATTATTTGTAAATTAATAAAATAATTGATTTAGCTGTGTCTAACCAAGATTTTCTTTCAGTGATTGTGAGGATATTTATGCTTATATAGGCAATAGGTGTAAGAGGTAATAGTGGTATTGCTAGCAGTTGTAATGGGACTTTGTTCACATGAATTATTTGTAAATTAATAAAATAATTGATTTAATTGCTGCATTTGCTTCATACTTGGTTTCCTTGAGCAATTGAATGGAAGCCAGTGTCACTCTGGGTTCCAGAGCACCATCCAAATTGTATGAGCATGGGCCATGTTTTCATTATTTTCTGCTGGAGGTTTAGAAGGCTAGCTATTACCTAAATAGATGTTGAGGGCTATAAACTCAGAAAGCATTTAAAGAACAGTAGAATGGATAGAAAATGCTCTGAAGATTTCTAATATTTAACCTAGGAATTCTGATTGTTGTTAAATTCTTTGCTCCCCTGGAGATGTCAACTCACCTGGAGTGCTAATAGTATCGGTTGACCCTCTTGGAACTGCCAAACAGAAGCCTCCATCCTGCTTGTACTTGTCTGCTTGATGGTTCCCAGGCACACCAGCTTTCTTTCACCAGTGCATTCATGCAAAAGCTTGGCCAGTGATATCTAGTCAAGCCTGCTGACTTGATTTGACTCAGAAACTTGGATACATTGTTTAAAATTTTAAATTCTTATTTTTAATTTTCTTTCGTAAGTACTAAGAACCTAAATGAGTAGATTTTCTCAAGTTAAAGACTAAGCAAAATAGTAACAATTTCTCTGTTCATCCAAATGTTTGGTTTAGCCACCTTCTTCTCTCATTTGAAAGTGTTTGTTCTTATGATAAATTCATACTTTTCCATTAACCAGAGAAATGTAAAGTCTTTCTTCCATTTATGTAAGATCGAGAATGAGATGGCAATGTTTCTGCTCTGCATGGCTGGCATTTTCTACTTAGAGGTAGTAAAGGACAACTAGAAAGAAAATTCTGCTCTTAAGATCATGTCCTTCAGTGCTTTCTGATTTCAGATGAGTGGATAGTTTGTAGAATAGTAAATTCTTCATTCATCTAGGTCAATGAAGGGTGACTCCTCAATATGGATCTTCTTCCAAACAAACTGTGCATTTTATCTTGAGTCAGAGATTATCCTTTACCAATATGTGAACTTGGGCAAGTCTCTTAGCTACTCCTTGTTTCCTTTATTTATAAAATTGGGATAGCAGCGCATTTTTGTGAAGATTTAATGAATTTTTGAGCTCGACCATTAGATGAAGTAAGGGCGAAAAAGAACAAATATTTATTGACCACTTATCATAATGCATTACATTCATTATCCTATTTAAAGTTGCTATCTTTAGCAACTTTGCAGAAAGCATTACCATCACCTTTTCTAAAAATAAGGAAACTGAGGCTTGGGAAGAAACAATCACTTTCTCAAGGTTATTTTGCTAATAAGTTGCAGAACTGGGAATCATACTAATGTCCAAACACTGTGTTATGCCACATACCTATTTAGGAGAATGTTTGTTTCCTTCCCCAACACTCTGTTTCCTAAGGTGAGAAAGAAAGGCTGGGTATAAAAGTGGGTAATGAGTCCTACCTTTTTTGTTAAGTATTAACTTTTTCTATTGACAAACTAATTTACACATTATATAACAAAAACCTTCTTACTAAATTACTTCTTTTGAAATTCTGGAATATTTCTATAGGGAGCCAAAAATGTGTTTTGATGTTTGAATGACTTATATGAGAAGTAATATAGAGCTGCATATTTTTGGTAAACTGTCAGAAAAGATGAAATATTCTGGGCTGATACGTGACCATGTGCTATGTAGCTTTCTGACAGGTATAAATCAGCTACACTTGGGGAGTAGATCAAAGTTTACAAAACATAATTATTTTTTATATGGTCCTGAATGCTTTTACAATTACCTTCCCAAATATTTTTAAATGACTACCTAATTACCATAGTATGTCCATAAGAGCCTTCTCAAATTATCATATTATCAAAAATATTGAATTACCAAAGTGAAATATCTAAAGGCATAGAAAAAGTACCAGTAGAGTAGATTATAAAAGCTTACATGTTCCAAGTAGAAAAATTTATCCTTGTAACATAATAAAAGCGTTCTACAAGATTGGCTTCAATTATTAAACTAGGCTAGAGTATTAAATTCTAATACTAAGTCTTAGTTCTTTGTCATAAGGTCAGTATTGTTTAACAAATTGGTGTCCCCTGGGTAAGAAACAAATGCTCTTAGGCTTATGTTATTTTGCAAACTGATCAATTCATTAATGGCATTGTGGAAAGAACATATTTGGAGGCTGATAGAAATCTTGTGTATTTTGATTATGTTACCTTGACTTTTCAATTTAACAAATGGGAGCTCAAATGTTTCAACATTTAAACCATTTTTGTTTTTTCTTTTCAGTGGCTTCACCCACAAGGTTAAGATATAATGTATTATCTCATGACAGTATACAGATTTCATGGAAGGCTCCAAGAGGGAAATTTGGTGGATATAAACTTCTTGTGACTCCAGCTTCAGGTAAAAACAATCAACTGTGTTTTTCTAGAGCATTAGCAACTTTTTATATATAGATAAATAAAAACGTATAGTGACAAGCATTGCTTTAGGATCAGATGAAACAAGAAGCTTTCAGATGATCCTAAAGCAGTGCTTGTCACTATATGTTTGAAAGCTTTTTGTTTCATCTGATATTTTGAGCTTGAAATCTTACCCTTTAATCAAGGAAATAATGTTCCCTAAAGTGTAAAGAGTGACTCTTGGGCTCACTGTAATTCTCTTCAGGCCAAATTTCCAGACTATCAAAAAGTCTTACTACCTTTATTTCAACACACAACGAATACTTTTGGTTCATTGACACTTAAAAAATACACTACACCAGTGTGTCCAAAAGTTGTGACTGGTTGGATAAACTATGATTAATTAACTCAATAGAATATTATTCAGCAATTTTACGTTAAAATTATAAAGGCTAAGTAGATATTGTGAAAATAAGTGATAAATTAAAGCAGGAAAAGCATGATTTCAATACATTTATGAATCATGAATATAAAGTAGTGATGTAAAAACTGTTTTAAATTAAATTTTGGTTAAATTTTTCTTTTTCATATTTTCTGTTTTTATTATACAAATATAATAAACTGAGACAATATGGAGCATGTAGGGGAGTTGCCACTGCTATACGGGCAGTGTGGAGACGACGAAGTGATCAACAACTGGATTGCTTGAGTTCAAAACCTGGTTCTGTCACTTATAAGTAGTGTGATGCAGGCAAGTTATTGACTCTCCCAGTCACCCAGTGTCTTCTGTAAAATGTGCAAATAATATTAGTACCCACTTCATGGAGTTTTTATGAGCTTGCAATTCAAAGTTCTGGGAAGCAGCAGTAGCAACATTACCTGAGAGCTTGTTAGAAATAAAGAATATTGGGCTTCAGCCCCGACTTCCTGAATCAGCACCTGATTGTAAAAAGATCCCCAGGTGATTCTTAGGTACATTAAATTTGGGAAGCACTGGTTGTGAGGACTAAATGAATTAATAAACATAAGGCCCTTAGGACAGTGACTACAGTATAGTAAGTGCTCAGTAAATGTTACCTATGAGTGTTATAAAGATGTTCTTTGGTATATCTCTCAGATCATATTTCTTCTTCAAGATGGTATACAATAAGTACTTAATAATAGCATATTAGCATAACCATATTTGTATGTAAATATAATATATTTTTTTGTCTTTATTGGTGATAAAGATAGTTATATTGAGCTGGACTCCTTTCTGTTGAATACCTTTCCCCAACTGATTTAATAAGGGAGATAGATACTCTGTTGTCCATAAACGTGAACATCTTACCCAATAGTTGATTTAAAATCTCAAAGACAAGCAGTTGAAACACCCCAGCTTCTTGCCTGGTCACTAATTTTTATTAAGAAAAATTACCCATAGTCTCATTGGAATGACTTCCAGTTGAGTGATACCAGAGGCCAACTTTTCCCGTGTTGGCCTATGGAAGTGACTCATTTGTGGAAAGCAATACTTTATTCTCAAGTCCAGTTCAGAGTTTTCATTTTGGAGTATGGTCCAATTTTGAAGTTTCTTTGACTTTTTAGAATACAGTATATTTTTAAAAATAAGTTATCATGGGATATTTAAATTTAAGAGATTATTGAACATTATTATGATTCTAAATTTCAAAATATAAGCTACTGCTTTGTGGTACCTCTGAGAATTCCCCATGTCAGATCTCAAAAGGTAATTTTTTTCCCTCCAGGTAATCAGTAGTTTAACTTTTCCTGAATAATTACTGATAATACCAAACTATTAGGTACCCTAAGCAGCTGTCATTGAGGAATCATAGAACCTTAGAATTGACTTGGATGGCCTCTGAACCAGACCTCAGCCTCATCCTTCAATTCCCTCTGCAATGGTACACTTAAAAACTAGATTTCCAACTCTTGCTTAAACACCTTCAGTGACAAATAAAAATTGGGAATGGAAATTATTTCTTGATGAATATTGTGTTTATTTTACCGAATGTTCTTACTGTAGTAACCCAAACTAATCAGTCTTGTACTCTAGTAACCTACTTAAACATAATAAATAGAAAGAGTAATAAATACGTCTAGCCACAAAATGTTTGTAGATGTTTTAGCACTAAGACACGGTCCAAGTATTGTTTATGTCAGTCTTTCTCAAAACATGTTCCATGGGATTCTTCAGAATGCTAATAGCTTTTATGCTACCAAATGGTTTAATGGTCAAATAAATTTGGGAAATCCTTGCTTAAGTAGAGTTTAAAACATTTTTACTGGAGGATTCTCAAAGCTTTAATAAAATAATATACCCTATGTCTTTCAAAGAGGATCTCCAATACAGGGCTTTCTAAGGACTTTTTCTTTTTTTTTTTTAAGTGAAATGAAACACACATTATGAAAGATTTATTTGGTGCACTTTGTGCAGATGAATTTTAAATGATAGAAGAAATTTGTAAAACCATATTTAACATCTTGGACACAAATGCATTTAAGGAAATGGGTTTTGGCAAGAGAAAGGCTCAGTTTTGCCCTCTAGCAGCAGCCAGCATGGATAAAAGCAACATCAAATTTCAAACTTAACATTAATTTTATTGGAATATAATTCAAATGTGTTGTAATTTGTATTGTGTTTGAATAATTCAGCAAATTTCAGACCCCTCTTGCTGTTATTGCTAGTGGGACAGAAGTTTTAAATTAATTTCCCTTTTCTCAGACACAGTAATTGCTGCCAGAAATTGGAGAAGAAATGTATATTTGAAATTTTGCATTAAAGTTGAGTATTTAATCAACAGCATTTTCAGGAAAGCCTTAGACTTCAGTGTAATTTGATGGAGAGATAATGGGATTCTGAAATCTTTTCATGAACCAAGCTAACTTTTAAGTAGCCAGGCAATGAGTGGTTCCTTCAGCATCCTGGGCCAGCGGTGGTCAGATTTAAGATAATTAAATTGCTCATGTTTCAAGGATGCTTTGACTCACTTTAGAGAGGCCATAGAAAAATTTCCAGTGTGGATAATTACATTCAGCCTGCCTATATCTCCTCCTTCACTTTTAAGTGGAATTCTTTCCTTGCAGAGTATATCTGATGTTGAGGACTTGCTGTCTTTTAACTTTGTACTATGGCTTTCCTTAGAATATAAAAGTGATAGTGTGTTATAATGAAAGATTTTTGTGAATGTGCTTTTATCTAACTTACACAATTGTTATGTAATGCAAAGTGTACAACTGAAAATGATAACAAAAACTATTTGAGTGTTACAGTTAAGTGCTGTAATGTATGTATCATATGTATTTTTAAATGTATTTACATTTTGATGTCTATCAAAAAATCATGTTGTAAATGTATACAATAAAAATGAATTTAAAAAATGTCTTCATCTTCTAAAATTTTAATAAAAACTTTTCAATATATACAGTTAACCTCATTTATTAGAACTGATTTATCTTTCTGTTTCATTATAGGTGGAAAAACGAATCAATTGAATCTCCAGAACACTGCAACTAAAGCAATTATTCAAGGTCTTATGCCAGACCAGAATTACACAGTTCAAATTATTGCATACAACAAAGACAAAGAGAGCAAGCCAGCTCAAGGCCAGTTCAGAAGTATGTATTTACAGGTCTAAAAGTACCACTGTGGGACTCTGTCCTTGCATTGGATTTGGGTCTGTAACATATATTCTAAGGGTTAAAAGCCTAGCTTTTTAGATTTGCAGAGATCTTAACAGTCCAACCATCTATGAATTTCTCTATCTCTAATATTTTCTGCACTTCCCTTTCCCCATTTTGCTTGATTCCTATTTATCTTTTAAGTTTTACTTATCATATGCTCTTTCTGACATTGCCTTCCAAACCTTACCCAGACGTCTCTTCTGTGTGAGTCCTTAGCATTCAGAGCTTTCCCTCTGGTCATACTATAAACCATACTGTAATTGCCTATTTACTTCTCTGTGTCCTCCACAAGCCTGCAAGTTTTGTAAAGACTTTATTTTTATTTCTCATTGTATCGCAACTGCATATCATGTGCCAGGCACGTAGTAGGTGCTCATTAAATCCTGAATGATTGAATGGATGATGACTTCATCTCCTCTATAGGATCCCTAGCAAGTGCCATTTCAGCCTCTACTAAAACAACCTACACATTAAGGAATTTAACTCTTTCCAATAATAGATCAGCTGACATTTATGAAGGGCCTGTTATATGCCAGTTTCCATGACAAGCAGATTGTAAACAAATACAGTGTGATAAGTATTAGAGAGAGATAAACATAGGACTCCATGAAGAGAGTTGTTCTCTTTGTCCTAGTAATGGGCTGAGAAGAGGGTGGATGAGGGGAGGCCTCATGTTTGAACCAGTCCTCAAGTAGAAAATTGAGCAAACAGAGAAGGGTAGGGCAGGCAGAGGACATTGGAAGCAGAGGAGACAGCTCTGAGGCAGCCCAATCCATACCTGCACAGTTCCATTAGAAAGCTTTTCCTTATATTGAATTTAAAAGTTGTCCATACTGGCCCTGGTTCTTCTGTCTTTCAGGAGACATTCATTCATTCATTTGTTCATTCGTTCCTTCCTCTTTTTCTTTTTTTTTTTTAATTTAACAAATATATGCTGCATGCCTATTAAATGTCAGGCCCCATTCCAAGAACTGGGCTCATGACAAATTCCTGCCCGTGTGGACATTATATTCTGGTGACCAGACACTGTAGCAGCTCCCTCTTCCTGATGGTGGCTTTTCAAATGTGAAGGACAAAATTTTTTGTATTGTGAATGTAAACAGAAGAGGCCTATCCTGGTTAACTTTCTGTTAATTCATTGCTAAAATAGACTCAATCCCCCTGCCCCCTCCTGCCCAACTTATTAAGGGCAATTTAAAAAATAATTTAAAAAATCAACAGAATAGTATAATGAACCCGGAAGTATCCATCATCAGCTTCAGCTATTTGCCATTTATGGCCAATTGTTTTATCTCCACCCTCACACCCACATTTTCTTATTATTTTGAAGCAAATCATAGACATCATTTCAGATAGATATTTTCTTATTTTAAACAATAACTTTAAAAATCCTGCCATAGGGTTAATTCACAAATCTGGGAGGCTGTTTGTTCTGGAACTCTGTGTGTGCAACAATGTTTTGTCTGGATTTTTTTACATCCCTTCCCTCCCTTTTTAAATTCCTCTTCTGAATAATGTTTTGTGAGACATATTTGGTGACTTTTTAAAAAATTAAAGCAAAACAAAACAAGACAAAACTTTGTTCACCTGCTACCTCTGGAAACTTCTGAACAAAGATATTTGGTGAATTTACCTGGACAGGACATAAGATGTTGTAAATGTTATATTCTTTGAGATTCACAATGTCTGGAAGCTCTGGAAAAGGTTTTAATGTTATTTTCAACATAAATCAGTCTTCTGTCTCATTTTATTGGCACTGCACGTCAGTTTCTGGCCTCCAACATTCCTACATGAGTGGCCAAAATAACTTCTCTTAAAGTTTGCAAGAAGTAATAAAAGGGATAAGGAGAAATGATTCATTTTACTTTATTCTGAAGGTTTTGTAACTGATCATTTCAAATATTCCAGCAACTGAGTAGCAGAAGAAACACAGGGACGCTTAAAATGATTTCCCATTAGCTACTTATTCAAAGCACTTTAAAGGAAATGAGGTTGTTTTCAGCTTGCTTAGCTCTGCTGAGATAATTGTAGTGAAACAGTCTAACTGGTTAGCCAGATAAATTACATATAAGAATTTTTTTTTTTAAGCTATGTTATTTTTACTGGCAGGATAGAGGGATTAGTTCTGCTCAAATAGTAGTCTATAAGAATGAAACGAAAATAACTGTTTGGATGGCTTTCTTTTCCTTTTCCATTTCAGTTACATTCTTGCTCCCTGTGAGATGGAGTTAAAGTCTGATTTCCCCCACCTGGAAATCTCTCATGATTGTACTCATGAAAACGGTGATCAGGACAAAACCTTGTGGATATAGGTTTGCAAGCAGTGCAGGGATTTGGATACTTTATGAGCTTATCTTTTGATACACAGGAAAGCACAGGAAACAATCCTTGGGTTTTTAAAGATAGGAAGGTATATCCGATGAGCTGGATGTTATGATTCCAAAACTGCCACAAGCAACTCAACCACTCCAACCTCAGTTTCTTCATCTGCAAATGGGGGTAATGATCTGTGCCTACTATTGTGCGGATTAATTTACTTCAGCAAATAGTAGAGCACAGTGGCTGTTGTGAGTAATACCACTTTGCTCATGATGATCTGTTTTCTAACTGATTTTGTCCCTACATGAAGGAGACAGCAATTTGGTGCAACCTGTATGTTACACTATACATATCACCTAGTGGCCCAACTTCCAAAGTGACTGTTATTTTTTCTCGTCCATCTGTAGACTGATATTATGTCCCTATTTTGGCTAATTTCCTTCTCAGCCACTTTTTCTTCTCTTTGGAATGATGTTTTGCTAATCTCTGTCTGCAAAATCCTGCCCGTCTTTCAAAATCTGGCTCAAATGTTACCTTTCCAGTGAAATTTCTTTCTTCCTCTGAAATTATTATTATTATTCTTTCCTGGATCTATTTCTGCCACCAGCATCCCTCAGCATAATTTTTCTCATGTTAAAATTGCAGATGTATTTTCTTTTAGAAAATGTGAGCAATTTGGGGCCACAACCCACGTGTGGGTGGGATTGAAGATGTAGATTTAGAAATTATCCATAGAAGGGTGAGAATTAAAACTGTGGGATAATGAAATTACATGTGGAGTGTACAGAGATGCAGGGCAACTTTAGTGTATGATCACGTTTCAGGAGTGGATGTAGAAAAAGTATCCGAAGAATAAGAATGTAAAGAAGGGGTCAGAGGGATAGGAGAGAACCAGGATAATGCCTTTGTAGAAACTGAGAAAGAAAACAACTTAAAGGAAGGGGTGCTCCAAAGTGCCAGTGCTTATAAAGAAGTCAGGAATGAGGTCTGAAAAAAATGGATGTAAAAAATTAGGTCAGTGGGCATGGTAGGATCAAAGCATCTCGTCTTTTTTATTATTTTTTTAAATCTTGGCATTTAATCTCTGGGTACCAGAAAGCCAAGGAAGACTTCTAAGGAAAGGAATAATAGAATTAGAGTGACATGACCTCGGCAGATGACAGATCTCAAACCCTTTCAGCAAGGGGATGGATGCCAGTGTAAAGAAAGAGGCAGAGGATATGATAAAGACAGGATTAATAGACAATATCCTGGGAAGGCAGCAAGGATAGTTCAGAGGAAATCACTGCTTCCCCTGTGTAGCCTCTCCTCCAATAAGTTGGCTGGATTCTATGGAGTGAAGTAACCATTAAATGAGATTCAAATAGTAGTCTATAAGAATGAAACGAAAATAACTGTTTGGATGGCTTTCTTTTCCTTTTGCATTTCAGTTACATTCTTGCTCCCTGTGAGATGGAGTTAAAGTCTGGTTTTCCCCACCTGGAAATCTCTCATGATTGTACTCATGAAAACGGTGATCAGGACAAAACCTTGTGGATATAAGTTTGCAAGCAGTGCAGGGATTTGGATACTTTATGAGCTTATCTTTTGATACACAGGAAAGCACAGGAAACAATCCTTGGGTTTTTAAAGATAGGAAGGTATATCCGATGAGCTGGATGTTATGATTCCAAAACTGCCACAAGCAACTCAACCACTTCAACCTCAGTTTCTTCATCTGCAAATGGGGGTAATGATCTGTGCCTACTATTGTGCGGATTAATTTACTTCAGCAAATAGTAGAGCACAGTGGCTGTTGTGAGTAATACCACTTTGCTCATGATGATCTGTTTTCTAACTGATTTTGTCCCTACATGAAGGAGACAGCAATTTGGTGCAACCTGTATGTTACACTATACATATCACCTAGTGGCCCAACTTCCAAAGTGACTGTTATTTTTTCTCGTCCATCTGTAGACTGATATTATGTCCCTATTTTGGCTAATTTCCTTCTCAGCCACTTTTTCTTCTCTTTGGAATGATGTTTTGCTAATCTCTGTCTGCAAAATCCTGCCCGTCTTTCAAAATCTGGCTCAAATGTTACCTTTCCAGTGAAATTTCTTTCTTCCTCTGAAATTATTATTATTATTCTTTCCTGGATCTATTTCTGCCACCAGCATCCCTCAGCATAATTTTTCTCATGTTAAAATTGCAGATGTATTTTCTTTTAGAAAATGTGAGCAATTTGGGGCCACAACCCACGTGTGGGTGGGATTGAAGATGTAGATTTAGAAATTATCCATAGAAGGGTGAGAATTAAAACTGTGGGATAATGAAATTACATGTGGAGTGTACAGAGATGCAGGGCAACTTTAGTGTATGATCACGTTTCAGGAGTGGATGTAGAAAAAGTATCCAAAGAATAAGAATGTAAAGAAGGGGTCAGAGGGATAGGAGAGAACCAGGATAATGCCTTTGTAGAATCTGAGAAAGAAAACAATTTAAAGGAAGGGGTGCTCCAAAGTGCCAGTGCTTATAAAGAAGTCAGGAATGAGGTCTGAAAAAAATGGATGTAAAAAATTAGGTCAGTGGGCATGGTAGGATCAAAGCATCTCATCTTTTTTATTATTTTTAAAAATCTTGGTATTTAATCTCTGGGTACCAGAAAGCCAAGGAAGACTTCTAAGGAAAGGAATAATAGAATTAGAGTGACATGACCTCAGCAGATGACAGATCTCAAACCCTTTCAGCAAGGGGATGGATGCCAGTGTAAAGAAAGAGGCAGAGGATATGATAAAGACAGGATTAATAGACAATATCCTGGGAAGGCAGCAAGGATAGTTCAGAGGAAATCACTGCTTCCCCGGTGTAGCTTCTCCTCCAATAAGTTGGCTGGATTCTATGGAGTGAAGGAACCATTAAATGAGATATCTTGCTATTGGCTCACTTTTGCATATTCACAGGCTATTTTTTGTGCAGAAACCATTGNATATCTTGCTATTGGCTCACTTTTGCATATTCACAGGCTATTTTTTGTGCAGAAACCATTGCCATTTGGTGGTGGTCTCAACTGCCTCAAACAGTTCAAGGTGAAGCAATGGCAGGAAAGTTGTTGGCGGAATTTCAAGCAGAAAATGCAATGAAACATTAATCTAATGGTATAGGTTGGTATGAATATATTAAGGGGCCAAGGGACATTTTTGGTCACTGAATATTTCCCGATTAAAGTGACAAGGAAACATTGCCATTCATTAACAGAGAAACATTTTGGTTTTTTTTAAGTTTTAAAGGAAATTATTATGGTGTTCTCACTTTCTGTTACAGATAGAGCAATTCCAAATGAGAATATTCTTGGCTAAGATCTTTCTAGAAGAGGGGCCAAGCTCATAGGCGAAATCCCAAGACTTGAACATATGGCTTGAGTCCTGTGCCAGCACTTACTGGTTTTATGAGATACGTTTTAGCCTCCTGGTCCTTCATTCTCTCATGTGTGAGATGGGGATAATCTCATGCTGACTTTACAGCAGTTATGAAGGATTATATTTATATGATACATCTGCCCATAGTGAATATTCAATCCAAGTAATCCCTTAAGTGCTTCCCACACCTTCTCATGACAAGGTTGAACAAAATAGCAGTTCTAATATTTGGGGATGAGTTTGTACCATGGAGCTAATTTCTGTTAATATTTTTAGGCCTTGCAAGGGTTTCAGTAAAATTCATTGAATATTTTCTTTCAGAGTTTAACGTAAAATGTTGCTGTATTTCTACTTTTCTTCCAGTTGATGACTTAGAAAAAAGAAAGGATCCAAAGCCCAGAGTCAAGGTTGTGGACAAAGCAAATGGGAGTAAACTGTCTTCACCAGAAGGT